GATCTAGGACAACCTTGCTGAGCTGTCCGTGCTCGTCTTGCTCGACTCGTGTCCGCACCACGCGGTCCTCCTGCATCTCTGCGGGCTTCAGGCGCGTCACGGAGAGGGTGGTGTCCTCCGGACCGACTTCGGGACAGCTGACCCCCTTGAAACTACAAAACAGCCCCGGTTTTTTTTCGGGTCCCTTTCCCTGGTCCTCCCCGAGCTCAAAGAGCTGGTCGTCCCCCGGGATCATCGGGGCAAACTGGCACTGGGCAACGAAGCGGCCGCCGTCCAAAACGTTGACGCTGCCGTTCGCGAGCACGTGGGCCGAGGTGTTCACCACGTGCACCGCGCGCTTCACGCAGACCTCAGATTCCTTGGGGTCGTAGACAAGGACCCGGTCGCCCTTGATGCTGTGCTGAAAAATGGGGACGATGGCCGTCTCCTTGGAGTGGATGGTCACCTGCACAGCTGCTCGCACTAGCATGCACTAGAAGCTACTCCAACTACACACCTGGTTGCCGCTTTGGGACCCTGACATTACTAGCAGCCAGGGGGCCTTGTCTTGCACGTGGTACAGCACGTGTTCTGCGAGGCCCTTGGTGGCCAGGCCTTCCAAGGACTCGAAACAGTCCTTGCCGGGCTTTTGCTCTCCAGCCGCCTCGCCCCTTAGGCGCAGGACCAGGTGGAGTGTGGATTCCTTCTGGATGTTGTAATCTGCAAGCTTGAAATACTCCTCAAGCTGCTTCCCTGCGAAGATGAGGCGCTGCTGATCCGGTGGGATGCCCTCCTTGTCCTGTGAATCAAACACACCGATCCTAGCAGACTGGCCAGATGGCACCTTCGTCAAATCGGTGGGAACATGCTTGACATGCCACGGTTCACAAGGTCCCGAAAAGGTCAAGTTCAAGGAGAACATTTTAAGGCTGTCGGTCCTGGATTTTGCTTTTGACATTCTCGACCGAATCGCTGGGGCTCACCTCCACGGGATCACACGACGTCTATGTCATGGCGAATGTTTGTTGCGGGGCTAACACTCAAGTACACACCAGCAGGTTGCTTTCCTCCAGTCTACACTTAACAGCAGCAGGTTGGAACTGTGGGACACTTAATGAATGTACACGCCCGAAACAGTACTCTTGGATGCTGAAGCCGCCTCCAATGTGATGGTCTTGCCTGTGAGCGTTTTGATGAAGATCTGCATTCCCCCACCAGTCGCTCGAGCCTCATTCACGATCTTGGCTAGCTCTTGTCCTTAGACGATCACCACTAAAACCACAGCCTCTGGCGCAGTTCTGCTGCTACACTAAACGTCGTAGTGTGCACGTTGGAGCGCACTGCAAGGAATCCATGCTATTCAACGCTGGATGCGTATGCCTGTGCCTGATTGTGCCTGTGTTTGTACGAGTTGTTCTAGATTTTGCAAAAGGCTGAATTTCCAAGACTTTCTACAATCCAAACTAAACTCAACAGTCTGAACCCTACAAACAAAGCCTATCATCCTCTGCGTTCTGTGGAGTCCCAGGCTCTGGCAGGTTCTGCGCCCAGCGCCAGGATCGAGAGCTCATTTGCGACCAAATCAAGCTCCTAGTGCTTCACAGAGAAAGAAACAAAGGGATGAGAGGGAGAGCGAAAGAAAGAGAGATGGACAAACCGACGGGCAGGTATGCCCGTAAAGCATTGCTTCAAAGCTTGCAGCTGCCCTCAGATGCTGCCGAAATGCCACATCAATCCAGTGGTCGTCCGTGCTGTTCCTCACGTGGCCGAAGGTGTGCAGCATGACCCCCGGATCGACGTCCATGTCTGCACTGACCAAGACGGCATCAGCTTCTTCCCTCGGCAGATCGAGGCGGTACATGCACTTCCACTCCTCGCAGCGGTCCTCGGATGCCCGCTGTGGACAGATTTGGCGGCAAGATGAAAGAAAGAAAGCAAAAAGGATGGCGTGTCCTTTGGCTCCGGCAAGCGGCCACATAAGAGGCACGGCAAAGGCTCTCGCCTGTAGAGTCGCCTCGGGCTCGAATTGAGATTGCCTCCCGACTATCTTTCGGAGGTGGCGGTGGCTTCGGCATCTGGTTGGCCAAAGCTGTCGTCAAAGACTTGCTGAGCTGTTCCTGCATGATGGTGTCCACCATGGAGACTTGAGCTATCTCCTCGAATCGGACTTTGTGAATGATGCCCCATTGCTCTTCAAAGAGATGCACAGCTGCAACATAATCCTCCGATTCCTTGCAGCCTTCGATCGCCCGTTTCGCACGTTCTACCATGAGCATCTTGCCCGTCACCGTCCTCTTGTCAATGAGACTCAAAGTAAGCTGCACTCCCCGGCACGACTCCAGGAAGCTGCCCATGGAGGCATGGTTGAAGGGATAGGAAGATCCGCCAGGTACCACGGAGAGGCCCGCCTTGCAAGGGTGGAGGACGCATCACAACTGTCTTGTAGTGGGACTCTCTGATGAAAGTACGGCAAGCAACCCTCGATTGTCATGATTCCGCAACAAGCGAAACTAGCTGATGTACGTTGATGTACGAGCAGCTGAGGCTTAATGATCATGCTGATGGTGCTGCCGCTGTTTGCAGGCGGAGGAGCAGCATCCTCATCGTGGTGACGGCAGCGATAGCACCAACCAGGCAAATACCACAAAGAAGCACGGAAACAAAGCAGTACATACTGATGGTCTGCCAGCAACTGCTTTCGATTATCGAAGCAACCAACATGCCGAACACAACACCACAGAGAGCATAATCTAGGCACTCGCGAAAAGTCCTGGGCAACTACAACCATCGGATCCAACCTAGATGCATAAGGACAGCTGCCAACAAATTATACGACACTTCCAACATTTCGTTCTGATGAACAATTCACGCGCTGCACATGGCATAGCAGCATAGCAATGGTCAACCGGAGTCGATCGACCACATGTTTTCGATCACACCCGACGACAGCCAGTTCAACCACCACCTCCACCAACACGGCAAAAACTTTGCTGGTCAGCACTATGTCAATCACCTGCATCATCCGCAGGCGACATCGCATAGGTAGACGGGCAAACAACGTAGCACTGGCTAGCATCATCTAGCAGAATGAGCCGAGGTAACAAGCGATGGCTGGTATAAAGTGCTCCGTCGATCCTGATGTCCATTACACTCGTCCTGTGCGACACTACGGGCATCACGGACTCGAACTGACCATCAAAGGCAATCGTTTGAAACCCTCTGTCCCTCTCCACCTTGCTGTCCTTGCCAAAGATGATAGAGGCCCCACCCGGTGCCGAGGCTGAAAGTGTGTTCACCACCAGCTTCCGGCGAGCCTCGGGAACCCGAAGCTCGAAGTCGTCGCCAGGACCTGAAAGCGAGTTTTAGGCTTGAGTAGTAGGCTTTCTGGGTCTGAGATCCTTGGAGTTTGGGCAGGTCTGGGCCCTTGGGCTTTCGAGTTTCGGCCGTCTCTCCGAGACCCGAGGGGAGAGTCTTAGGGGGAGATCCTAGGGGCCTAGGGGCCTCGCTGCCGTGCGGCCTTCGCCGAGCCTCCCCTCCCTGACACAGAACGCCAAGTTGTTCTTGTAGAGGGTGATTCGAGCAAGGTCCAAAGGCAGCGCCATGGAGGAAAGACCCTAGGACCGATGGATCACCGGATAAATTTGAAAACCCAATCTACGTCACCGCACTGGCCCTCACCACCCCTGTCATGGCAGTTACCCCGCGCTCTCTCGGGCCACGAAGCGAGATTGCACAAGGGTCTTGGACGATCTGCAAAGTTCCACCCTGGTAAGGACAGCTCAGAGTCGAATCATGGAAACTTGGGAGGCTGGGCGCACTGAAGGTCTTAAGGCATACATCTCTTCAATCTATGCCGACGGAGCTTCAGGATCTCTCGCTGAAGATTTTTGGAAACTTGCCGCGCGCGACGGTGAACAATCCCGGCCCCTTCTGGCCGAAATCCTACAAGGATCTGAAGCAACACGCGGGAGCTGGATGCTTAGGTTGGCCTCCATTAGAGAGTCAGATCCAGGCAGCCTTGGGAATGCTGTCGCATGGGTGGGAGCTTGCTTCAGAAGGTTCCGGGCATCACCTTTTAACACCACTTCCTGATACGCCTGCAGTATTCCAAACTCCTAGCCGGTGCCATGGAGCCCTTGAAAGCAAGCACACACCCACATAACGCCCCGATTGTGGGGTGAAGCCATGCGACCGCTTTGCAACGTGCCGTCTGTGACGAGCTGCAGCTGCAGGCTGCAAACAATTAAATGGAAGACAGAAAGCCGAGACCAAGACTCGCATCGCCATCATGCAATCACGCATGGAGGCTTGGATGCCTTGGCCTTGTCCCAGCCATCTGAACGTGCACATGCTCTGTACATGGCAGATCGCATACTTCAAATGTCAAAAGACCTGCGCAGTAGGGAACTAAAAGATCTAGCTCGGCAGCGATGCCCATTTCGCATCGTCTCCACGCGGAGCCTTCTAGAGCTTGCTGCGCATCCTCGGGTCCGTTTGGTTCGTCGAATGCCGCTGCAGCCGCTGCCTAGTAAGCAGAGTAGCAGCTTCAAGCGTGCACGTTGACCGAGGGAGCTCAAGCGGTTCAGCAACAGAGGACCAGAGTCTCAGTATATGGATACTTGATACATCACTGAGATCAGTTTCAGGCTGGCTGCTGGCTCAACACGATGTTTCTTTGACATCGTTTCCAGGTCGAGGGCCTAAAGTAATCATGTCTTTTCTGTGCCAGTCTGTGTACAAGAGCCAATGGAAAGCGCGTGCTCTCACAAACGTCACATAGGATCGCGTTCGGGGGGTCGTGAGGGCGGATCAAGGGTCCGCTTGCAGCGTCTTTCTTTGCATCCTACTCCGAGACCCACTCCGCTGAGACCACAGGCCACCGACATGAACCCTGAGGTGGGTTTCTCCAAACTGCTCCAGATTCGCCCGACCAGAAACGAGTGCCGAAAGTGTCCGTTTCAAGCAAGAAACTCGCAACTTCCATTGAACCTCCACAAACAGAGGCACCTCGGGCAGCCGCGTCAGAGCACGACAGGCTCCTCGGCGTCTTCGTAGTCCTGGCCGGATCCTGCATGGGTACACACACACACACACATCAAAAGCTTCAAAGGGGTTTGGGATGGTTTAGGGGCTGAGGGGTTGTTCACGGGTTTGTGGACGTACAGCACACTCAGGCAGGACTGGACAGCCCAAACCCGGCAAACCAGCGTTGGACGCCTGCTATCAGGGTTCGGTTAGGTCGGTGAAGGCCTCAGAAACTCCATCGCAGATGTTCCTTACACAGCTTCCATTGCGGTGGACAGAAATGTACTGGGCACAAAGCGCCAAGGCCTTGAGGTAGCAAAGGAAACACCATGAAGAAGACCCAGCAAGACCCGAGGGAGCCCTTTCACCCAATCCAAGCGGCACAGCAATCTGGATAGAACTTTGGAAGTTGAACAAACTCTGGGCCTGTAAGAGCCAGCCACTGAATCCCAGCTGTACAGAGAACCCCATGCTGTCGGCAACTGTCGCGTTGAGAACTCATCCCTGAAAAAGCCTAACGGCGGATTTGCAAAACTGTCATCTCCAAGCAGGAGACCACATACATGCAGCCCGCACTCATGCTCACTCAATCCCTGATTCTGCCGCGTTGGCTTGCATGACCAATCATAAACATACATGCCAAGACCGGGATATATCTGCCGCTTTGGAAAACACGATCATTCGTGTCAAACGATTTTGGCATCCACAAAAATGCAAATCAAAACGGATCGGGGTAAAGCCAAGTTGGGATATGGTCATCGCATGGGCCCCGCAGCATGTGGAAGCAGTATCATTCCGGCCTGTGGAGGGCATCGAGGGCTCCTCCCGGGGACCCAGGCACGAGGAGAGCTCTGCGTTCCAGAGTCTGTTGGAGAACGCGGTCTGCGCCAGAGACTGCCTCTGTGGCTAGATGCGGAAACGACACAAAGCCTTAAACATCACCAAACCAAAAACAAACCAAAAAAATAATGGACAGCGGGCTTCTGGGCCATAAGATGCCCTCCGAGCGGCGCCCACCTCGCCCATGGCCCTCCGCCACCGGAGAGACCCAACTCCAGCGGATCGTTGATCGCACCAAAGCACGGGTCTGAGATCTTGAACTCCACCTCAAGTGTCACGATCTTCCAAGCTCGAGACTACAAGCCAGAGATTAGATCCCAGCACCTGGGACCCCGGGCGATGGCCTGATCTCTACGCCAGTAGAACAGGCTCTGCGCCGCCCAGAGGTATCCGTACGAGTAAGCAGTCGGCACCGGCCTCGACCACTCCTGCATCTCACAAAAATATACAAAAATGCCGGACCATGGGATATGATGGGATATGCGAGGCACGCAACGGTGCAGCGCGGTCCAGCACCAGCCCCTTTCCATGCTCACCCAGCGACTCGAGGCCAAAGTGCTCGGCCCTGGCAGAGACCAGCACCTCCACTCCACGGATCCACGAAATGATCAACAAGCGGCTGCAAGCGGTGCACCCACCGTCGGCGCCTGGCCTGTGCCGACCGCATGGCAGCACGGCCAGCCGCGAGGCGCCCCAAGCACTCTCCCGGAGCGCAGAGAGCCTCGGAAGGAGCACGGGCCCCAGCCATCTTCCCGAACGTGCACGACCGACGGCTACGCGCTGTCCCTCCACGCCCCGCTAGTCTGCGTCGAATAGCCACGTACTCGTAGAGCGTCAGCCTGGCGTGTCGATTGCTGCACAACTCCAAAGCCAGGGTCGGCTTTGCACGGCTTTGCAAAGCGTGCAGTTGTCGGACACTTGAGAGCAACGCAACGCCAGCAGCTGTGCCGAATCCGCAAGATCTTGGACCACCTGGCGCGTGTACTGCCGGCTTGGACCTGAAATCATCTGAAATCTACCTGTGCAACTCGGCCAAAGCGCCTCGCGGTGGCTCGGCAAAGCTGGAGCCGGAAGCGCTGCGAAGCGAGCCGCAAGGGCTGAGAAGGTGGCATTGCTCTCCCGGAGCAGCGGCCAAAGTTCTTCCTCGGCTCGCAACGAGGCGGCTTGGACTCGCCCCCAGGCTTCTCACATCGCCTGGAACCAAGCCCGGCGGGCTTTCCGGAGCGCTTCACTGAAGGCCGCAGCCGCGACGCCCTTAAAGCAAAGCAAAAGCAAGAGAGAGAGCACCTCAATTGCCGGTTTAGACCCTTCGCCTCCCCGAGCAAGCGCAGCAGCCGTACGCTGGCGGGCGGTGTCTGCACTCCAGGCTCAAGGACTGGAATCCCCGGAGCCCCCACAACTCCACCACCACGCCTCCTGCCAGAGCTCCTGGAAATGCAGTCGGTCTGGCTGGGGAGCACCCTGAGCACAGAGCACAGATCCACAAACACTCATGCTGGCGACTCCATCATTCAGAGGGCCTCCCCCAGATAGCGTGCGGCCAGGGATGCAAGGTCACTGAGACCCTCGGAGCCTCACAGTGAGAAGTCTCAGTGAGTCTCCGCCTAGTCCCGGCGAAGGCCTTGAAGATAAGCAATGCCAGTGGCCTTTCAAGGGACTTGAGATGACTCCAGACTCAAGAGCCGCCCATTCCATGCGGGATCCATGCCATTCGCGGTGTCTGGTTCAAGCGAGGCTCCGATCCGGGCCCTGCTCCGGGTGCTGGCTGCGTCTGTGTGCCTCTCAGGGACAGGGGTTCCGTTCCGAGTTCCGAGGTTCCACGGCTCCGAGGAAAGCACCGTCCGCTCTGCGGCCCTGCAAGGAGGCAGGGATGCGATGTGAGGAATGCGAGCGCCGAGGGCCATGCCGGCACCATGTTCCGTCGCCTCGACGAGCAGCCGCCGCTGTGCAAGGGCGAAGTCCAGGAGAAGCTCCGTCAAACCTTGCCGCCTGCAAAGACGAAACCCTACAGCTTTTTTTCGGGTCTCGGGAGCCTCTGAGGTGCTGGCGTGGAGGTGGGCAAGAAGCGGAAGAGCTGGTCGAATGCCCCTCCCAGGCCCGCCGGCCTTCGCCAGGCCACCAGAGCCTGGATCGAGTTGGCCTCCGCAAGGCGGCAAGGCGAAGGCGGCTGGGCCGAATCAGAATTAAGTTTGGCCGAAGCGGCCAACCAGTAGCCCCACTGCCACCCGCTTTCAAAGTTCAGCTGGCCGAGCAGCGGCGCCTTGGGTTCACTTTGGAAAGAAGCCGAGGGCAAGAACTCTGAGCGGCCGTGATGCTGCAGCTGGCATCGCATCCAATGTCTCTGCATCCTGCCCAAAGCGGAGATGTGCAGATGGGGTTGGTGTGTTCCAATAAGCCCTACCTCCAGGCGATCGGATGAATAGATGGGCGCGAGGAAAAGCGGCACGGAGATGTCGTAGTTGACCCAGTACGCCGTTTCCTGAAACGTACTCAATAGACTTCCGTGATGATTAACCAAGAGATTGGGCAAATATCGGCAAAGCTGCCTTCAGCTCAAGACATGCTACACCAATATAATATGCCAGGAACTGCCATGCCATGCTGGCCAAATCTCTGGATAAAACACCACCGGCCGGCCCTGTTGAAGCAGGAACGCTGTCCACTCTCCTGAGACGGTCATGGTTTCAGGGTTCGGTTTGTCTCTCTAGACTCTCTAGACGCTCGCATTGGTTCTTTGACCCGGATTGTTCCATGCGTCTGAGGCTCGCAGGTCTGAAAAGTTGGCATTCCCATACGTGGGAGCCGGGTCCGTCAGGGAATATGCTTGCACGGTGTGGGGCATGCTGACCTCAGGGCACACAGCCTTGCTCTGCCAGGACCTAGGGGTGCAGCATGCACTCTCTGAGTCGCAGACGATCTTGGCATCCGCAAAGTAGTTGACTCGGAGGGTATCGGGGCATTTCGGACTTCAACAGGGGAAGTCGCTAAGTCCAGGGCGATAGTTGAAGTTCAAGGGCTCTCCCTGCTTTTCGGGCCTTTAAGCGACGGAAGCCGAATCCCGCGAGTTGCAGACGCCGGGCCCCGCCTTGGATCCTGGAAGCCTTCCGCGTGCTGCTGCGTGGAGCAGTGGTTCTTCACCAGCAGCCTCGAAGAGCCCAAGGCCTCCTCCCGGTCACTGGGGACATGGGGGGGTCTATGCGTCTCCGCGACAGGATGCCGCAGGCCGGGAGCGGCCTGTGTTACGTTCAGCAGACGGGTCAGCTCCACAGCGTCCAGTCCTGAGCAGAGACCCGGACCGCCGCCCAGGGCGAAGGCCATGATAAGACGACTGCGGCTACGGCTGGACCCAAACGAGAAATGCCCTGCTACCGGAATTGCGAGACATTAAGATCTTTGCCCTCGGAGTCCTCGCGTGAACTCTGTGCTGCCCAACTCAGTTCCAAGGTGGTCGAAGCCGCAGCTCAGCAGCCACCGCACCCGGTCTCGAACCTGAAATTCACTATCGTGCCGTCGTGGCTCGCCATGCTCGTCCTGCGTTCGCTCTGGCCTGCGCTGCGTTCTCCTCGCGATCGCGAGAGGGCCGTGGAAGAAGGTTCAGCGCGTGCTGCTGCCTCAATGTTAGCGGCACGTCGACGCCCACCTCCCAAGAAGAGAGATAGAGATGGAGAGAGAGAGAGAGAGAGATAGAGAGATGGAGAGAGAGAGAGAGAGATGGAGAGAGGGAGAGGGAGATAGGGAGAGAGAGAGAGAGAGACAAAGGGGGCGCCATGGGGGGCCGAAGAGGGTTGTGGGCGCTTCCCAGCCTCCAGGCCCAGGCCGTGGGCCGCCTCCACAACAAGCCGCAGCCGATCTCGGCGCTCTCTGCTCGTCTCGAAGTCCTCCGATTTCGAAGCGCCGCAACTCAGAATTCGGCTGAGCTTTAAGGCGAGGGATGATCCTGCCCTGTCGGCCTTGTCTGATGCCCGATCGGCCAGCAGCATCCACTCCACGTAATTCTGCTTTTGAGCCAGCATCCATTCCAAGAAGTCCTTTGATGTCAGATTCTATGGCCATCCACAGCCCTTCTGATGGGGAGGGACGGGGAAAAGAGCGGCTCCTCCCAAGCAGCCCAGGCTTCCCGCCACCGTTCTCGGTCATCAGTCTTCCCCAGAGCATCGTAGCCGTTTAAGAAATTCGTGAGCTCCAGCGGATGTTGGGTGTGATAGTGAGTGCCTGCCGCAGTTTGCAAATGTCGGAGACACAAAGCCTGAGGCCAGACTCCGCGCAAACGCAAGTGTTAACGGAAAGGGCGGCCTCGGAAGCTCCACCGAGGAGTCTCATGCACATCCAGAGGGAGGGATCGCCAAGTGAGCCTCGTAGCTTTGGGGATAACCTCGGCTCCCAGCAAAAGGAAGTCTGCAATAACCCGTTAGGCCCTTCGGCCCCATTTGCGATACTAGCGCCTGCCGCGGCACTGGTTTCAGCGGATGCAAGAAGCCAAACCCCAGCCGCTGCAAAAACTCGTAGAACGCGAAGCCCACAGCTCGTCTAGTCCTACGAAGCAAGGCAAGGATGAAAATCAGCAAACGCTGGGGCCGCGAGCTGCGCCTCCCAGCACAAACCACCAAGGTCCGGCCCGATTCGTTGCGGGCCCGGAGCAAGAAGGAGTCGTCAGTCAGGTCTGCCAGCTCCGCGTCCGACACTAGGGCCCCTTAGGCGGCCACCGACGATTAAAAGGAGTGGCAGGTCTACCGGGGCATCACGGGGCTGAACTAGGACGGTGATGATGTGGACGATGTAGGTGATGGGGCTGACGATGTCGGACGATGACCGTGATCATCCTCACGACTTAGGTCATCATCATCCTCATCCTCCCTGTCCCCATGCCCCTAGAGATGGGACCCTACCCTTCAGTAGGACCTAATGACGTGCCGTTGCGGGGACAGCGGTTGTTTTCTATCACGCAGAAAGAGCTAGCTAAGGTATCAGAACCACGTGAGTCAAAGGAGCAGCAGAAGATATACATGTGAGCATCATTGCTGCAAGTACCTATGCAGAATGCTTGCAGGCCGCCTGAGGGCGTCTAAGATTTGTGGCTTCAAACTATTGAAAGCATGGCCGGCAGACTTACACGTGCTTTTCTGGTTCACGTTCGTGAAAGATGTGAGTGTAGGAGAGATCCTATCTGTGCATAATCAAGTCCTATGCACAAATCGTCACAAACCTCAGAAATGAACTGGTGCATTGGACCCCTTGTTCTGATCAGAAGTGGTACATTGGTTGTGGCTGGTATTCCTCTTCATTACGAACCAGGGCCAAACTCTTCCCATCTGCTGTAGATGCGGTTCGTCTGGATCTGAGCCTGCTCCCTGTTGGAGAGTGGCATTCATGACCGGAATCGAGCAGGTTCGAGCAGCCGAGCGATCCCGACCCAGGGAAGTCGTTAGAGGGCCCAAACGGGCTTTTCGAAACCGCACAACCAGGCGCAACAAGACTAGACTTTCGCACATTAACCTCGCACGTTGCGCCATGTATTCTAGGAATCTAGGTCGGTAGCCGTCCTCTGTGAACTTCACGCCTTCTCGCAAACTTTCACAGTTTGTTCTAAACTTTATTTTCACGGTACATTGGCCGACTCGCCAGCACGTGCCATGGAAGCAGCCCCGCCCCCGTCGCCTACTACTCCTACTGCGCCTTTTGACACGGGAGCCGCCGCCGATGCAGCGCAAGCTTCACAAGCAACGGAGGTAGCAAAGTTGATCCGGTAATTGCGCAATGCACTCCCATAGCACCGAACGAAAGGACATGCTGAACAGCCTCTTCAAACTTGCATATTCTGTGAGAAGGCAAAACAATGACGTTACAAGGAATTCTTTTCTCGGTGGGGGTTGGCCTTCAGGAAACTGTTCGAACACAACATCACGCTGCCTCCCGAGTACACTTGGCTTCCTGGAAAACTCCACCTCACAACAGTCCTTTCTGTTTTTGTACTGTCAGCATGTTAGAGAGCCTCGTCTTGAGAGACGGCCCCCTCTTTTCTTCGTCCAGCGTTGTGATGTCACACCAGTTGTCGATGAGCTGCTCATTTTCAAGCCACGAGATGGTGCCGTCGCAGGCTGGTGCTATCTTCGGTGTGATACCGAGATGGCCGAGCATTTTGTCAGTCTATGTGCGCACAATAAGATGCTGGGCCTTTGGGGGTCGTCCTCGGAGCCTCCTTCGGACAAGTTGCGGCTGTCATCTCCACTTTCGTGGGAAGACAATGTGCAATCTCGGCACACGCTTGGAGAAGCGGTTGGGCGCCGCCAGAAAACTGCCCCCAGATGTGTTCCCCTCCCCTCAGAAGAAGGATCTGGGTTCAGTGGCCCCTGCTGGACCTAATGGCCTGCCCTTGCACGGACAGCACTTGCTTGTTCCTTCACGCAGAGAGAGGCTACCATGCCACTGCCGTAAGTACCTAGTCGCCGGAGGACGTCTAGAATTTATGCTGGCCCCTCCGCTCTTCTCCTCCCCTTCTTGTTGTTTCCCTCATCAGAATGCGACTCCACATGGCTCGGCAAGGTTTTCCATGCTTGAGGCCGGCAGGGATTGAGGGTGCTTTGTTTCGAAAGTGCCTGAAGGCCCCCGATCGCGGCCACGGTTTGGATTCGACGTCTCGGGACTTACATTGCTCGACTCCTTGCTTCGTTCAGGACTGGCTTGAAGAAGCCAGGTCGAGCAACCCATGACGGCCTTTTTCAGTTGCGGCCGGGCCGAGCCGCGGACGACCGCGAAGCGTTTACAATCAAGCATGGTCGCTATCCCAGAGATCCGAGTGATATTCACGAAAATTAGTCAAAGAAGATGTTCAGGCGAGAGGCGCGCTTCTGGCACGCTGCCCAGCGCGACCACGGCAGGAGAATCCAGCCCGACCTGACCAATCAGCAACGCGTCTGTTTGGAATGCGCAAGAGAGCCCGGGTCGCGAGGGTTTAGGGTTTGGCCATGTTGGCGGTGCTCCGGAGTCAGGAGGTTTCAGAGAGGATCTTTCAGGGTTTCAAAGGCATACGTAGGATTTTGTGTTTTGCTGCTGACTCCCTCCTGCTCCAGCCGCCGCCCCGCGCGGCGCTGCAGGTCTTCGAGGCCCGGCGCTGCGCCTGCAAAGAAAGAAAAGGAGCTCGGGGAGGGGGGGGGGGGGGGGGGGCCCCCCC